TGTATGCAGGCAAGGATTGATATGATTGGAGCAGCTTGTGAAAGTGCTGAGAAAGTATTGGCTGATACGCGTAAAGCTTACTGCTTTGGAACTCGTCAAGGCATACCTATTGTTCCTACTCTGGACAAGGCTCAGGCTGCCAAAATTCAAGAGCAAGAAAATCTTCTCCGTGCTGCTGTTAATTTTGGCGAAGGTAACCACTATTCATTGTCTTTCTGAAACACTTTCTGCTTCTCAATGTTGCAGTTTTTGTTAACGACTTGCTTGATTGATTTTGGTGATCGTTTCATTCATAAGCTCTACTTTTTAGGTCCTTGCTCAGCTTTAGGTTCTTTTTTCTTAATATTGCAATCGGGTTATTGCTTTAACTTTCAAATGTAGTGTCTCTATTTGTTTATGATTTAGTACTTGTCATTCAAACCGAGTATGGATATATGTGAATGGTTTCATATGGGTTTGTAAATGCATGCATGCAGGATTAAGGTTACCTGTAGACCAAAGACAGAATACAACTGCACTTCCAATGCATCTGGTAGATGTGCTCACTGTAGGTGATGGAGCTCAGCCTTTTGCCGAAACTTCTGGTAATAATCAGTTACTTGTTGTTCAACCATGATTTAACCTTGAGTTGATGTACTAGGTTGTACCCCATTGCTTTTCAGGTGACTTTAACTAAAGTTTTTTCAGGTATGTACTTAAAGAATACCCCTGTATCATCAAGTAACTTGACTGCTCAGAGCCCTTTGATGCAGGTTAGATGATAGACTTCTTAAAGGGCCACTTTGTGAGTTTGAATTCTTAATTGAGCGGAATTGCTAATCAAGTTATGATGGTAAAGTTATTTCATTTTGTTGTCCATTGAATTTACCTTAGAAAGTATTGTTTTCATCATCATCTCTCCCTATACATAATCACATTTTTCAGAATATAAGCACACGGATCTCTGAATCTTTCCTCACATTTTCTCTGCCATCTTTCATTTTGGCCGCTTTTTTGTTGTTGTTGCTGCATTTATTCCCATCTTCTTTGATCACATCACTTGAAGTTGCAAGACCTACATCCTCAAAGTTTACACAGCTTAGATACTCTCTCCACAAAAGGACCGTTTTGTTTTCCATCTTGTTGAAACTCTCTGCTTCATTCTCTGCATTTGTGAGGTCAATTATACAGTTTTAAAATTTCTTATTTCTGTAGCTTTATTGTATTCACTTTGGTTTTTGGTTCCGGGCCTATCCAAAATGAGTATTTGAGTAATAAGGGATCCCTTCCAGTCGTCTTGAGCTATTGTTTTGTAAGTAGTGAGGGATCCCTTCCAGTTGTCTTGCGCTATTGTTTGGTAATCATGTTGGCAAGGCTACATTCTTGGCATCCTTACCATTACCCCTTATCGGTTCCTTCATCTAAACTTCTACTTTTATTATTCATAAGTTTATTTTGTAAACATGTTGAGT